AGAAGATGCGAGCTGTCAGTTAGAGGGGAACAAGCGTTGCCTATCTCCTATAATAAAAAAGCTACAGGGAGGAAAAAGTTTAAACTCCTATCTCCTCCTTTCATTTGGCAACATGAATTGTAACTTTAAAGGACAGCATCTAAGTTTGTCATCCACTTTATCTTTCATTGACAAAGAATTAATTACATCAAGTATATTTCTTCAGAGAAGAACATAGGTTCAGTACCTATTCTATGTTTTGGATGCCTTCTTGGTATATCTGCATAGCAGGTTAGCTCCTATTTTCCACATGTGTAACTGGTAACTACACTACCCATCTGAAGTTTTGATGTTGTATGTGGGGTAGAAGATGGAGACCTTCACTTGGCAATCTCTGTCAAGTGCTCTGGTGTGACCTAGATCATCAACAAGATGATCAAAAGGTGAATGATGTTTTTTCAGTCCAAAAAGCAATTCAGGTGATGATTCCAAGCAATTACCTTGGGAAAAATAATGGGGCGTACAAGTAAATATGTCTTAAGATGGATGGCAATAAGTCTGTCAAAATACATGCTATGTGTATAACTTCCCTGAGCATATGGGATTGTCACTGAGCTCTAAGTCAGGCCTGCTTCTCTTGCTGATTGTTAAGAATTCTTTCAGGGTGAGATAAGTGCAGGTTACTGTAGTGGAGAAAAGCATAATAAAAAGAAATGGTTGGAAGTTAAAATTATTTCAAAATAAAAAATAAACATGTTTTGTCAACAATCATAGTGGTGAACTACTAGAACAAACCACCAAGGGAGCAATTGATTCTACATCTCTTGATTTTCTCATCAAGGCTAGATGCGTTTCTGGAAGTGAATTTTTAGACAAACACAAGTTAAGAGTGTCATTGTGTGAGTAACTGGGTGACATTCTGTGGCCATTTATACAGAGGATCAAACTAAATAATCCAATGGCCCTTTCTGGTCTTAAAATCTATTAATCTATACATAAAGCATATTGTACTGCAGATGGTCTTCATTTCTCTGCTTCCGTAAGGGTTGTGGGAAGCATAACATAAATGAGAGCTGTCCTAAGACTGAAATAACCTATCTCTCTGTACAGTAGGTGATGAAGGATGGTAAAACTAAAACAGAGATGAGTTAAGTAATCTGTCTCTATTATTTAGAAGACTAAAGAAGACAGGTCAATAGCATTAGGAAAACTCATTAATGGCACTGTTTGAGCAATTTCTTCCTAATTTTTAACTTCCTCAGATCAGCCAAATTACTGGACTAGAAAGTATTGCATTATCTTCATATGATACCCTCATACCCATAGGTTTTTTCCACATACAACAATTTTATTTAATGTTTGGTATCATAAATAAATGTTATCATCCCCCTCTAGTAATGCATCTGCATCCATTGCTAGGATATGGTTTATTCCTTACACATATATTTAAAAAAAAATCCTCCTTTCTCTTATTGGTATTAGCTTCCCTGATCAATTTTCAAATTTCTGCACTTCATAATTCTAACTTATGTTAGTTGTTATCTATTTCCTCCTCACTGATTTGGTATTTTATTTCTAAAACTGTGGGTTATTTTACCACTGAACCAGGATGGTATTTTAGCAAATGTTGCCCTTTTTTTTCATTGTGTAAGTGAGGCTTTTTGGCTGTCTGATATTCTCTTCTTAAAGGATGCGTAGCTTGTGTTAAAACTTTAGTCTATATTTTCCCCCCTCGATTAATTTGACTCATGCTTTTTCTCAGCTTTATGAAATTAGCTTTTTTGAAGCACCAAAACAATCTATTTACCCATATTTAATAGAATCTGATCATGACTTTGGGTGACTTTTGGGTTGGCTGGAATATCTTTTGTGCTAGAAAATTATCATTTGTCAGTGTTGGTGATGATGATGATTTATTACTGGCTTGCAGAAGATGGCTCCCAAAGTGAAGTCCCCAAAACTGAGGCAGTTCTTCTTTAAACAGCTGAAAGACAAAGAAGTTATCTACAGGGTGAAGATGGTAATCTGTAGCCACTGAAGGCTTCTTGGGTGCTGCAATACATTTTTCTGCCACTGGGAGATTCTTGGTGGGGTTGTTACAACTCCTGTGCAGAATGCAAAGGAAGCAGGATTTGAGCTGGGAGTTCAGGCTTTTCAGTTAGAGTTTGTTGTTGGTGTTGTAGCATTTGGGAGCCCTAGTCATGGCTCAGAACTGTTGTCCTAGGTGCTGTACAAACATGGAACAAGACTGTCTCCGCCTCAGAAAGATTTACTGTCTACTTGCAAAGCAAGAGAGAAGAGGTAGATGTAGCCAGGTACAATGAGGCAGCCTAGCCACGACATGGAAGAGCAGTTTCTGAGCTGGAAACACCGATTATTGAAAGGTGAGGCTTCTGAATTTATGATATGTGGTTTTGAGCCTGGACAGGCCATTCCTATCTTATAGTGAATTAATTTAAAATGTTGCCCTGTGTGGCAAAACATAAACTTACTAAATAAGTAAGTTTCCAGTTGTATTTCTGCCTCTTTCTGCCTATAGATTCAGATGCCATTACTCCCAAATCTGTAATAGTATAGTATGTGTATGTAGAGGGGGAGGTGAAACAGCTGAAGTTGTTAATCCCAGCTGTGTGCTGCAACTTGTTAAGTGGGGGAAGTTACTATAGTTTTCTTTGTGTGCGCATTTTTAAGTGGAGCTGCAAGCACTACCAAGTTCTGAAAAGAAGTACTGGAGCATTTTGGATGGGATACTGAAAGAGAAACACCTAAAATCAGTGGCTATTTATGACAATTTGGCCTTTGTCTCTTTCCTTGAATGTTAAAAGTATACTGGTAGTTGGGGCCCTTAAAAGATGCCTATTGGATCTGCCCACTCTCTCAACATTCGTTGTAGTAGGTTAAGGAATGTTAGAAGCCATAGATGTCTGCAAGACACTAGTGTGGAATTGTGTGT